TACTGCAATACCTTGCCAGTTCTGGATTTGCCCAGAACTGGATAGAAGTTCAAATGAAACCATAGCGCAGCTGTCCAGCCTACAGTGTTCCACCTGTGGAAAGTCTGTTGATGCACCCTTTACTGCAATACCTTGCCAGTTCTGGATTGGCCCAGAACTGGATAGAAGTTCAAATGAAACCATAGCGCAGCTGTCCAACCTGCAGTGTTCTACCTGTGGAAAGCGTGTTGATGCACCCTTTACTGCAATATGCTTCTTTGTCACAGGGTTGTGGATCGGACATTCAACATCCCATCAAAACAGTTCGATGCAATACAGTCAAACAGGATCTGCCCTTGCCTGCTCCTTTGATCCCAAATTATCTCTCACGTGTTGTTGGAAGCTCAGCTCAGCTTAGCTTCCAGGCGCCTGTGAACTTTTGAACTTTCTCAAGGCTCCGCTCCGCTTCCGACAGCTCCGCTACCGACAGGATTGCTTTGGATTGCGTCAATTCAACCCTGGATGAGACTAGAACGCTGTATATATGTTATTTCTTGCAAGTTGTAGCTATCCAGTTCTGGGAAACGCCAGAACTGGCAAGTTGCAAACACAGTTGCTCATGTTTAGAGACAAAATTGTTTCTGTCGCTAGACTTTTTTCAGAAAAGACTGTCAATATTTTTCTTGTCGGTGTATATTCAATCTGTGCAGTCTGTCAATTTTGTCAACCACAGGCGATGTGGTGGCCATTAGTCTCCAATGGGCCTGCAATGGGTTGGGCTCTGACAGTTTTTGCTGCAAGAGCGTAGTGTCATCAATTGAGTAGAGGGTCTCATCAAGTTAGTCAGAGGCTGCAAGAGCTCTTTGGTAAAGTTGGTCTGTCAGCACTTTGTGCCCAAGATGCCGTCGAGTTCCAGTGCGCCAAAGGCCCATGGTAAGGGTAAAAAGGATCTAGATGCTTTGTGGGTTAAGCATTCCTTTGCTTGGACATCAAGATTCTCATGGCTCTTTGCGGTGGAAGAGGACGGCAAAGTGAAGTCACTAGGGTGCAGCATTTGTTGCAATGCGCCTGAAAACCAACGTGACAAGAACGGCTTTGCAGACGGCTGCATCCAGACTGCCCAGACATCTGTTTTCCAAAAACACGAGAAGTCGGCGGCTCATGTTGCCAGATCTGAAGGCTTCAAGTCCAGCGGCGTTCCCATTGCAGCCCCATCAGCCCAGCTTTTTGCAGAGTGTTTGGAATCTGTCTGGCGGGCACAGCTGAGTTGAAGAGTGTTGGGCCTTGGAAGTGCCGTGTCATGGTCTGGTGCTTGGCAGAGGCGTTGGGCCTAATTCGGGGCGTGTTCATGTCTTTTCAATATTACAGTAAGTATAGGTGTGTTTAGCGAGTCTCGGGCATGAAACCAAAATTGGTGGTATCCCAACTTGTTAATTACTAGTTTGGCGTAGCTTCAGTGATTTCATCCAGCGAATAATGGTTTCCCAGCAGGCTCATCGGCTTGCTCTCAGACAGTCTTTGCGTGATTCTACATCGTTATCGTTGATGCAAGATGTGCGGGATGGCCAGCTCCTTGTGTCTTTCGTGTCAGTGGACACCAACCTCAAGGTGACTAATGGCCACTTGGGGCAATGCAATCTGCATGATTTTGGTCTGACAGCCAAAGACATTGCGCAAGCAAGTGTGTACATTCTGCACAAGTTTGCAACAGCAGGCTTGGGGATGCCAGTGCGTGACGGAAGTGCAGATAACGCTATCCTGGATCATGACCTTGTTCAGCACGTTAAAAGCACTGTTGAATGCTTCGGCGCTGACGGCGCTGCAGATGAACAGAGAGCAGGTCAGTTACTGAAGGGGTGGTTTCCAGCACTGAAATTGGTGCAGTTCGACAAAGCCCACGCATGTCAGAGGCTGCTATCTCGAACTTTTCCTGCGGACCCCTACATCAACAAGTTGGTCCAAGATCTAGTTCTGGGTCCTCAGGCGATCACCCAGAAGATCCGCTACTCGGGGGTGTTTCGGAAACGCTTTCAGGAGGCTGTTGCTGAGTTGTCTGGCGCGCTTGCCAGGCGCATTCGCGATTTAGCTTGCGCCAAGCACCGGTTCTTGAGCGCTGCTCAGCCGTTTAGAAGATCTGTGCTTTACTTTCAGCCTTTGCTGCGGGTAGCCCAATGGATTGTTCAACAAAGAGGCAAAGGTTCAGAGGAAGGCCAGATAGCCAGACAATGGCTGAAATCTGTAACGGCCGAATCTGCTTTTCAATTGGCGCTGGTGGCAGACTCAACGGATGAGACTATGGCAGTCAATAGGTATTTTGACCAGGATACTTATTCCAAAGCAGACCTGACAGTGCAATTGCACAAATTTCTGCAGAAGTGCAGCTGGCTTTTTGGCCCGCAAAGAGGGGCCATGCAGACGGGATACACTTCGTTGATGATGAAGACATTGGAGAAGCCGTGCAACATTCTTATTGATGGAACAGTCACTAGTGTTAGGGCTCCTTCCAATGAAGTCATCGACAGGTGTTTCCAGAGGATGCAAAACTGGCTTGAACTTGTGCGGATGACCGTTCGTGCCGAGATGCCCCACTTTGAATCGGTTCAGTTGTTCCGGGTCTTTTCCCTGGACATGAGCCCCAACATGAAAGATCTAGAGTGTTTGGCAAACATGATTGAGCTTGACCCAGACGGCTTGCGCACAGAGTTTCTGGATCTGAGACCATCTGCTGAGTGGCACTTTGCCAATGGGAGCAAGTCATCCGAAGACGCCTGGCGTGCTTCTCACTTGAAGAACAGGACAACGGCCTCTCCCAAACACAATTTGGAAGCTGCCTTGACCAGGCTTTTCTCGTGGCAAATCAACACCTGTGGTATCGAGCGAGCCTTTGCTAAGGGCCTGGTGCAAGCCAGAAAGAGGGGCGATGTGTCCGAACATCGGCTTGATGACGAAGTGCAGCTGCTGTCCTTGAACAAAGGCAAGGGCAAACTTGCCGCTCTCCGAAGCACAGTGATCTGATCGAGTCCGCCCGTGCTGTGTGGACACAGTGCTATGGCCCACCTCGAAACAGACAGAAAGTCTCTGAAGACTTGAGAGGATGGGTTCAGATTGTTTGCTTATTTTTTTGCTTTCCTTTTGATTTCTCTTGTGAGATTTTCCTTTCATCACCCCCTGTCAGGACGCAAGCGTGCTCAGCCGTTCGATGATGAACAGATCACCTCTGAAGCTGCGTTCTTGAGGAAGCGGCGTCGAGAGGTTGATGCTGGAGCAATTTCAGTAAGCTTGTCAGAAGCGGTGCAACCTGTGACAGGCTCTGTTGGTGTGAATGGGTGGGGCGAAGGGCATGAGAAGGAGAAGCAGTTCTTGGAGACAAAGCTTTTGGCCCGGCTGATGAAAGCGATTGCTGAGGGAGCCGTGCCTTGGGAAAGCTTAAGCCCGGCTATGCACTCGGTGTTTCAGCAGTGGCAACAGCATGATCTTGACCTCTGCCAGGATGCATTGAAAAGCCGCCGTGTCTCCTTCACAAGACCTTCTTTCCCTAATGTTGCAGGCTTGAAAGTTTGGTGGCCTGAGGCTGTTCAATCTGCCATTGGCGAGCTTGAGCTTCGACGTGTCAGTCGCCAGATGGGGCTGGTGACAGAGGAGTCCAAGTATCGAGCAGAGCTTCATGTGTGGACAGAAGTTGCTGAGCCGGAGTCCCAAGAGGATGAGTTACTTGCCGGCCTGCATGGCAAACTGGTGTGTGATGCCAGATGCTTCCTGTCCGCTGGAAAGAGAGGCAGTTTCTCGGTCTATAAAGCTGCGACCAGCATTGCCCGCACCATCTATGTCACCCCTCGATTTGCCCGAAACAGTGGCGAGGTTGCTCAGAACATCATGCACTACTGCAAGCCCTTCCACCGAACTTCACGTTGGGTTTTCCAAGGCAATCTGGATGAGTTCCTGAAGGTCAACCGGAAGGCGATCAAGGCCAACAAGCCAACGCAGGTAATGGTTTTTGGAACTGAGGCAGACAAGTGTGGGGAGTTGAGTGACATCAAACTGTTTGTGACAGTGGAAGATCTTGCGCAACATTTAGTCTTTGTTGATCCGATACGGTCTGCCCATGGCTTGGACGGTCTCCGTGGATCATAAAGATTTGTATAGAGCATGGGATCGGGGCTGGCTCAGAAGCAACTGGATTTGTATCCAATGTGTGTTGGCGAGTGCCCAATGTTGAGACCAGCAAGTACTACATGTGCAAACTGGTTTTGTCCAATGTGTGTTGCCGAGAGTCAGTCAAGAATTCAATTACACCACCTAGGTGGTCAGATAGCCTATTTGTTGCAACCGCAAGCCCAGTGTGGCTCTGAAAGAACAAGTATTAGAAAACAAGCAGGCGCACCAAAACAGTTTCAAGACAACAGCTGCATGAAAGCCGTTGCGCCGTTGCGCGCTGTTTCTTCCGATGTTTTTTGAGGTCACTTGACCTGAGAGAAACGGTTTGAACCTCAAAAGCTTGGAAGTCTTTCACCCCGTCTTAGCTGTGCGAAGATCCTTGCAAGACAACAACTGTGAAAACGGTGGCAAAACCTTGCTTCCAACACTCCTTGACATGAGTCAGTGAATTAGCGGAAACCAATTGAACCTCAAGTTTTGAAAAATAGATTGACTGAGAACTGCTTTCATTATTCATTTGCAGTTGTGTCTTATTCACCAAAACAAGCTGCATCAAAAGGTTTGCAATACCTTGCTTCCGATGCTCTTTGAGGTGCAGTTGGGCTGAGCTGAAGCGGTTTGAGCCTCAACACTTGAAATTGCAGCAAGCCTTAAAAGACATGCCAATGTGTCGGCGGCGGCGGGCAAAGCATTTTGTGCTAAATGTTTGTATTTGCTGCAAGATATTTGTGCAAGATTTTTGCTAAATGCTAACATTGTGCAAGATTTTGGCTGCAATTCCTTCATCCAAAGCTGTGTTCAACCAAAGCTTCAGGGAGCTAACCCTGGTCATTCATTCCCGATCCTCGCCCAACCAGTTATCAGTCATGCCCACATGCGCCAAGCGCCAGCGCAGCGACAAGCAAAAGGTGAGGAGGGCCCAAAGAGAGAAGTTCCAACGTCAGACCTGTCAGAAATTGCCAAAGAGCCACGAGTGGCTGCATGGATTGGCGCCCGATGCAAAGGCTGCGCTCGAAGGTTCTGAGCGTTTGACGATGCAAGAAGCTGCAGGGCTCAGCCCAATTGTTGGACAGGTTCTGGGCCGTGGCAGCACTTCCTCAGAATGCATTGCGAAAGTTGATGGTGCCTGCACTCCAGAGCAGCTCCTCAGCATTGACAGCGAGATCCTTTACCAGAGACTTTGTGAAATGCAAGCTCTCAAGGAAGAAGTTGCTCGCCACATGTTGCTTCTTATGGATACTTTGGCGCAGCGCAAGTTTCTCTTTGCAAAGATTGTGAAGCAAGATTGTGAGAGTGTGAAGATCAAAGAAGAACCAAAAATTAAGGTCGAACCAAAGCAAAAGACCTCACTGAAAAAAGTGAAGGTCGAACAAATTTAGCAGACCTTTCTGAGGACCTTTCTGAGGAAAGCCGGGGGAAACAATGACTGGAGCCGGGCCTGTGCAACTGGGAAGGGGCGGGACGAAAGCGTCCCGTGGGATGAAAGCGTCCCGCGGGACGCTTTCGTCCCGTGCGGGCTGTGTGATTTTGCCAGTTCTGGTTTTTATCCCAGAACTGGGTATACATAACCTAGAAGAAGACAGGCAAGGTGTAGCAAGAGTGTAGCAATTTGGTAGCAATTTTGGACGCATTAGATTAGAGGGAAGCATTTAGAGGGACGCTTTCGTCCCGCTCAGGCAAGGAGAAACCAGAAATGACCTTCTCGCTTTGTCAAATTCTCATGATTTGTGGCGAGCAAAGTCTGGAAGGATGATGCTGAATCAGGGTCGGGGGCCCGACCGTCTCTCAGCGCTCGGTACCGGTACCGGAGGCTGAGAGGGCAGAGGGGCCACATTATCCAGCAATGTTGATAGGACTGCAGGGTTCCGGCCATTCTCTCAACATCGCATCACCATAGACAGGTCTGAGGCTCTCAGCGCACGGTACCGGTACCGGGCGCTGAGCGCAGGATCGGGTCCCTCACGGCGGCTCAGTCTTGTTCGTCTTCAGATGGATTTTTTTTTAAATCCTCAGCCTGACCTTGATCAAGCCAAGCGATTCATTGCTTCTATTTGTGTTCACAGTCTTTTGCCCATCATGGCGAAGGAAACTTTGGCGCCAGCTGCTGCTGCACAAACTATGCCTGCAGTGGCTGCTGCAAACGCGCAGCACTTGGAGTACATCCACGAGTGTGTGGAGGCCATCAAAAGCCACCCTGTCATGAAGGATGTGGCGACAAGTGATCCGGAGTTTGGAAAGTACATGCCTGTTCATTGGCCATCGGTGCAATCAACTCTTCGATCAAATAGTGGGCCAGAAACTCAGAGAGCTGTTTGTTAAGTTGCAGTGAGAGTTCCACTGTTGATCCCAGAAGGGCAGGAGATGACAACAGTTTTTTCATTTCAAAGCTTTCTTGACTGCGTGCCATTGCCATTGATTGAGGCCAGCTGCGGGCGCTGGAAATTTCTTCTGGGTGGATTTGGCTTTGGACCCAGCAGTCGCGCACACCGCAATCAAGACCAGGAAGTGCCATGAGATTGCAGAGCGCTACTACAACACCCCGAAGCCTTTGATCTCCGAGATTGTGGTTGGCGTTCCAAAATCCTTTGCCCAAGAGAAGAAGAAAGTGGTTCCAGCCCCAGGCTTTCTGCGCAGGGTCTCGCCGCCTGAGCCTCTTCACGCCTTGATCATGGCAATTCACAAGGATGTCAAGGAGGAAAATGTCGAGAAGTTGCAGCAATGGCGGGGCATCCTTTTGAATACCTTGCTGAGCTTCGAAACCGTTGAGGCTGACGCTTCCTTGCATTTCAAGAACACTCAGTTGAGAGAAAAAAGTGGCATCGAGCATGAGCTGATTCGTCACTCAAGCCTGAGCCGCTGCTTGGATATTGTCAACTTTTCATCCCGCACGCACGCTGCCGCTAAGAGCAAGAAGCCCGACAAGGGCAAGGCTTCCTGGGCCAAACAAGTCAGTGAAGCCTACAATGCGGATTTGGTCATGTCCGAGTTGTCAGAAAAGGTGACAGAGACCTGGGTTGACAGGGCTTTGGCAGTGAATTCCAGGATGCTGACAAAGTCGGCTGCGATAGTGGAAAAGTTGCTTTACTTGGACGACGCCTATGGTGTCAAAGGCCCCCTGGATAGCATTCACAAATTGCATGCGATGCTTGCCAAGGCAGGCACTGGCCCCTCCAGTGTCAAAAAGCTTGAGTGGATGGTGCTGATGATCGCTGACCTCTTTGAGAATGGAGCGTTGGATGGAGACCAGACCTCCAAGAGGGAACTCACAAACAGGCTGTGCGATGTGCTCATTGCCAAGCACGATGTCAGAAGTGAGCTTCTGAAATGGGATGAAGCGACAGGGGTGCAGACACAAGCGCTCCAGAAACTTCAGGAAGTTTCAGAGAATTTGGAAAAATATCGCAAAACATGTGGGTACTCTTGGTTGCCGGCGAAGCAGCAGCCCTCTTGTGGCTGGCGAGCTGCTTTCACACCATCAGCTGACCTTTTCATGACACTTCTCGATGGACTTGTCTTTGGCACCACGTTTGACGAAGTCATTGCCACCTGGGTCAGGAGCAAGAAGGCTTTGGCAGACCTTTTGAAGATGAGCCCATTGTCGGAGTCCTTGGAGGAAGTGGCAGAGAAGATTGAGGACAGAGTTTCATGGCATCAGGGTTGTAAGAGCTTTGAACACATGCTGAGCGCCAGTCCGCAAAATCCTTCACACACTAAGCACATGTGCTGTAGGAATGGTCTTTTTTGTGGAGTGTTGTAAGAGCCAAAAGCGTTGTCGTGCCTGGCCTCGCAGCCTTGCAGGAAGAAAAAGGCAGCTCTGAAGCCCAGCCCGATGATGAGAAGACAGCTGATGACACAGAGATGGGTGAAGCTGGAGATGAAAACATGGCGTTCGGCATCGAGTCTGATCAGGGTGTGATGGCTGTGTACTCTGAGCTTCAAGCCAGTGGAGACCAGAAAGACAAAGAGGATTTCCAGAAGCTGGGGAGGCACATGACCCAGGCCCGCTCTCTCGTGAACACTTATGTGGTCTTAAAGAGTGAGACAATGGGCGACGATGACTTGCTGAAGACTCTCAAAGAGTCTGTGGCGGGCAGCAAGTCAGGAGATGCTGAAAAGAAGACTTGCACCTTGATTTGGTATGACCAATGCGACGCTGGGGAAGCAACGGCCCAGCCGCATCTTCGCACACCAGGTTTGCGCAATAGAGGGGCGCACCTTCAGAGGTTCATCAAGCTTTGCCAGCAGCGTAAAGACCCCAACCAGGACATCAGCCCGGAAGACATCTACTGTTTGTGTGATGCCGGAAAAGAAGGCAACAAGTCTGCGCTGCTCTCCTCCTTCCTGTACGCACCTCAAGAGGATGAAACAGGCAAGCTCCAGAAAGCCCAGCCATGCAAGAAGCATGTTCGGACTTGGATAGCCAGCATCACCGAGGGCAGCCTCACTGAAAGGCTTTCCAAGGTTCGAGGGTTCTCTTCCATCAACCAGGTTCAGAGGCTGTATCTGGTGACCAAAGGCTTCCTGACCCTGAACGAGCACCAGCGCCTCCACACAACTGGTGCCAGCAACCGCGGGAACTTCATTGGGCCATTTGCGGTGGAGAACTGGGAGACATCGGACGGGGCTGCGCACAATGGTTTCAAACATTGTTTTCTCACTTTCACTAGGTATATAAAGATTGCCTTTCTCAATTTTCCAAACGATGCATCATCCTTTGTTCTTCCTGGAGGAGGCTGTGTGGAGGCTGCGTGTGAAGGAGAAGTTTGTTCTCTTTGGGAAGCATGGTGCCCGCATCCCGGTGGGAGGCACTGCCGATGGAGAGGATGACACTGATGCTGAGGATGATGCAGACATCCCTGACGTCAAGAAGAACAAGCCGCGTGACAAGAATGACACAGAACCCCTGTTGTTCCACAGCCCACCAGCTGCTTTTGGTCGAGGAGATCACGCGCAGTGTCGACCCGGTGGCTGTCATTGCTCTCGCAGGCGACGGCCGAGTTGCTGAGCTGTGTTTGGAAAGGCGTATCCCTTTCTTTGGCCTGTGCTTCACTCCAGAGCACGTGACAGCTTTGACTGCTCGCCTGGAGGCACGGGTCTTTTCAAGAATGCAGAATGACAAGAGCCGCCTTTACAGCCCAACTTTGAAAGTGATCCTGGACAAGAACCAGAACGAGCCTGAGAACAATGACAAGGCTGAACCCAAGCCTGCGCCCAAGCCCAAGCCGAAGGGGCCTAAGAGGAAGAAGGAGGAAGGCGGCGCTGAGGAGAAGGTTGAAGAGACTGATCAGAAGAAACCTCGCGGCGCTGGCAAGGGAAAGGGCAAGACCAAGAATGACAAGAAGGACGATCCTGCCACTGAGGGTGCTTCGGCAGGTGCTTCGACTCACTCGGACGTCTTGGCCGAACTGAAGAAGTTGGCAACATCTGCGATCGACTCGTGAACGCGCATCTGAGAGGGAATCGTCGGCAATTCTGAGATTGAACGGTCCGTGCTGCAATTTTTCTGTTATTGCTTTCGTGAAACGAACGCCAACTTAAAGCTCCAGAGAGCCAGTTTTCGATTGTTTTTCGTTGTGACACCGAATTAGCGTGGACCGGGATACCACCAAACTGATGCTTTTAAGTCTCCACATGACTATACTAGACTAGACTCGTTTCTGGACTTGGTGGAAGCGGTGATCTGCCAAACATCTCACATATATAGCTTGCAGGGTACACATACATGGTTCATTGCCTCAAGTGCAGACAGTGCAGATATCTGTCGATGAAATTTCCGACATGGAATGACTACACGCTGTGACATGGAATCCGGCACAGATTTGAGTGATTCATGCGCAGACGGGGTAGTGACAGACCATTGACTGAGAGTCAAAAGCGGCGGTTCCTAGTGAGTTGCCACCAGCAAGCTGATTGGTGTCAGAAAATATGACATGTCTTGGAAACAGCTTTACTGCCAGCTCCAGATTTCATTGAAACTAACTATTGAATGCTGTGAGCACATGTTTTTGCTTATTGATACACACCGATCGCTGGACAAGTGAATGCTGTAGGGCACACTTTGGCCCAAGAGGCAGATATGTGAGCTGTCAAGATGCCCAAGCGTCGCTGCCGTTTTTTGGAGAAAGATGTCTTGTCCGTGGCTTCAGATTGCACTGGCCTCAATGCAGCCTCTTTGGCCTTGGAATCCTTGAGCCTTCCTCACCAGGAGGAGTGGGTGAGCGATTGCGATTTGGCAGTCAGACATGTGCTTGCTCAGAATTTTGCACCAAAGGCGATACTGGCGGACGCACAAAATGACTTGCCCAACCACTTCTCCATTGACTTCTACTCTGCCGGCTACCCATGCCAATCCTTTTCTCGTCTTGGTACACAAGACGGCGTGGGCTGCGGTAACGGCCGAGTGTTGCTTTTTGTACTCAAGAGAATCCGCTCTGTGAAACCAAGAACCTTTTTGCTGGAGAATGTAGAAGACTTCCAGAAGAAGTTTAAGGATGTGTTTGACCTGACCATCGACGCATTGAAGGCCATCAAGGACTGTAAGTCCATTGTTTTAAGTGTTCATACATCTTGTGTTCAAAGCAGGCTCAGTCAGTGAGGAAGATGCTAAACCTTCATAGGACCCAAAGACTGGCCGACCATACTACAAGCTGCATGCTGCAGTATTGAACTCATTGGATCATGGAGTGCCGCAGTCAAGACACCGCCTGTACATAGTTGGTGTGCATAACCCTGTGCGGGGCTTCAAATGGCCAGAGCCACGGCCCCGGGTGTCTCTTGAATCTGTTTTGGATCCACGACCAGAACACAACAACAAGCCAGAGTGGCCGACAAGCAAAACAGAGCTCACTAACCTTCTGCATCACTACAAGAAGCTGAATGACAAGGGCATCCAAGCTGCGGAATGCAATGCTGTCGCAGACATTGGGGTGAGCGCCCGTTGGTGCAACAGCGGCGCTTTGAGCATTGGATATTCTCCTTGCTTGACAAAGGCTGCTTGCCAAAGCAACCGGTATTGGGTATTCAGTCGGCAAAGGAAACTGCATTTGAGTGAATGCCTGCGATTGCAGGGGATTAGCCCTGCTAGAATTCAGCTGCCCGAGCAGGTGAGTGAGAATAAGTTGCGGGGCATGGCTGGCAACTCTTTCACAGTGCCATTGGTTGCGAGCATTGTGGACCGTCTTCTTTTCAGTGCAGGGCTCACCAGTCAGCCTATAGCTTTCACAGCAGGCACTGGTCAGGATGGTATCAACTTGTGATTTTGAACATGGGTGCGACTCTGGGCAGAAAGACACTGCTGATTTCTGTGCTGCAAGGGCACTCTTCTGGGTTGGTTTTTCTCTTGTTTGAACCTGAGGTTTGGGGTATTGGTTGCGATTGCTTCGCCTCCAGACTTCTATTCATTCTTAGCTTGGGTCACATGTTACAAGAGCATCCTGCAGGTTGTTCAAAGGCTTTTGCGCTATTGACTTGCAGCGTTTGCTTCAGCCACTCCGACCACCACTAACGCATTTGTGCTTCATGTCATCCATGGGCGCGCGTTCGCATTCGCATACCGTTGGTGGCCCCGCTGCTGACGAGCTTCCTCCGCAAGTGATGGAAGATGATGAGTTCCGCTTGCCAAAGGGTCATGAGCTGGCCCAGTTGTCTTTCGGCAAAACCATGCTGAGCATTTCTACCCGAGCGACTCCGAGTTTGGCTCGGAAGCCTGACTCATCTCTCCGAATGAGCTTGCAGTTATCCGAGGCGGCTGTTGTGCTTGTGCCTGCGACAGAACTGTCTTTGTGGTGCGATGACCTAGCCGAAGTGGTGACAAATTACTCGGTGGATTGTCTCACACTGACCCAGCCGGCTGAATACTTCTTCAGGTGCGTCAAGAACAAGATGCGAGCCAAGGGGTGGGTCATTCGAAAGACTTGTTATGGGCAGCAGTGGTGTCGTCTTTGATATTGGCTTGGCCTGGCGCTGGTTGGCATTGGGGTTTGCTGACTGCAAAGGCCGGCTGCGTTGAAGACTAAAGTGGTAGTTTGTTGTTGGTGATGGTCATATCAGTAGCACGGGTGATAAAACATCATCCCAAACACTGCTGCTTAGCTGATGGCCACCAGCCGTTTGATATCGAACTCAGAGAGCGGCTGAAATGTTACCAAAAAAAGTGGTCATGACATGAAGCACGACTCAATTGTTTGTGGTCTGTCAAGAATGGCAAGAGCCTTGCGCAACCCTTTGCCGCAAGAACCTTTGACAGTCTATCAAGACATTTTTCAACGTGGGATTGCGTTTCAGTCAATAAGGAAGTTGGTTAAAGCAACTAGTGCAGTAAGTAGTCCGGTACTTTCCTGAGCAGTCGCATTTGTTGAGCTGCATCTTGTTTTTGGATCATCTTCTGTGTGTAGAATGTGTTTTGACCAGGTGCGCTGTTCCAGCGCCAACTTTCTCGCTTTTCACCAGCTGGGAGCCCGAGCCCTTTTGCGCTGTTCCTCGCAATCCACCACGGCCTGACCAAACAATTGAAAGTCATTGGCAGTGTGAAGTGTTTGCCAAGAAACATGGAGACAATATGGCAATTTTGCACATCTGAGATGACTTTATAAGCTAGTCAGTCTGTTTGTACACCACGACTGTGACAGTGATTTGTGATTTGTGCGAAGTCTTGAAACCCATGTGTTTCTAGCAGTTTTTCTTCTGTGCATTGGCTGCAGCAAGTATGGAAGATTGAAAGACACTGGGATCATAGTTTGCTCCACAGGTCATACTTTGGAATACAAAGACTTGAGCGCCTTCTGAAGTCTCTTGTTTCGCTGCAACGCTTCACCAGCCTGATGCTGGCTAATTTTCCCATAGCGGTCGTAAGTCTTTTTGTGTTTGATTCTGGCAAATGTCATGCCTTCTTCTGGTGAAGCACCGCTGGCTTTCATGTCGTTTATTTTTCGGTGCCTTGCACTGTGTGACCTGACCAAGCTAGGGTCGCCCAGAGAACAGCCAGCAGGAGGCCTGAAGGATTTCCGGACTTTGGCAATGGTGTGGCAAACTATATCTTTCGTGCGGTGGCCTTTCCCTGTGCGATTTGGAAATAGGTACTTCTGACCACAAGGCCATTCCCACTTGTCTGTGAAGACCCTTTTTCCCAAAGCCCCCCAGGATTTGTTCCTCCGACGACTTTTCCCTTCTTGGCGAAGACGTCGTAATAGAGGAAGGTAGGCCGACATAATCTTCTTGTGAACTTCTGGTGCACGTTTCAGCGGTCCAACCCTCACTGATCGAGTTTTCCAATTGAAGTCGCTAGCTTTCAGCCGGAGGCCCTCTGTTACGCGCAGGCAGAACATGTGACACAAGATTGTCAGGACATAGACCCAAGTAGTTGACTCCCGCAGCAAGTGCTGACACCAAGCAATCCACAGGCCACCTTCAAGTGTGCAAGCCTGCTGAGGTAGCGCTTCCTTCTTCATCGCCTTTCTCACCTTCTTCATGGCACGGGCGGGCATCTCGGATGTCTTGAGCCCTGAAAATTTGCTCCTTTTTTGCGAATATTTTTCTCCCCCCAAACGCAGTCGACATCGCAATCTCATCCGGCAAGTCGCCTAAAGGCCTATTAAGCGACCTCCCGGCGAAAAGACCGCAAGCGAAGGCGACCCGGAACAAAAAGCGATTTCCCGCCCACCCGTCTCCCATCCGTCCACAGCCATCGCCCGTGCGCATAAAACGGCAAGCAAACAAACACCGGAAAACTAAACCTCCAGTTCTGGATGCCTTGGCC